CGTGACCTTGTTTGTAATTATTAATTACAGGGATAGATTTTATAATAGCCAGAGGTATGTCGCAATTTATTTCTGGGTGGGTTGAAGTTCTTTTAAAACTTTCCACTTGCGAAATTTCAAAACTTTCAGTCAGACTTCAGACTTCAGAATTATAAACATTGCAAGTTCCCTTTATAACAACTTAGTAGTTGGATTATCAAACTATGTAGTCTACAATTCTGTGAATAATTTAATGACAATAAAAATTTGATATTGTTCAATACAAAATCCGTTCAATCTCTTTACTATTACAAAAATTAAGCAGACAAATCACTCCACGAACTGAGAAAGGCCTTGGGGACGAAGTGATAAATAAATAAATTGCGACATACCTCTGGCTATTATAAAATCTATCCCTGTAATTAATAATTACAAACAAGGTCACGGGGGCAGTTTTGGTGTCGCGCCATTGAAGTAGAATAAATGGCATTATTCCTGGCAAATTCCTTTGTAGAATTCAGACTTCAGACCAAGCCTTTTTTTCACTAGAATGAATTTTAAACATTGCAAGTTCCCTTTATAACAACTTAGTAGTTGGCTTATCAAACTATGTAGTCTACAATTCTGTGAATAATTTAATGACAATAAAAATTTGATATTGTTCAATACAAAATCCGTTCAATCTCTTTACTATTACAAAAATTAAGCAGACAAATCACTCCACGAACTGAGAAAGGCCTTGGGGACGAAGTGATAAATAAATAAATTGCGACATACCTCTGGCTATTATAAAATCTATCCCTGTAATTAATAATTACAAACAAGGTCACGGGGGCAGTTTTGGTGTCGCGCCATTGAAGTAGAATAAATGGCATTATTCCTGGCAAATTCCTTTGTAGAATTCAGACTTCAGACCAAGCCTTTTTTTCACTAGAATGAATTATAAACATTGCAAGTTCCCTTTATAACAACTTAGTAGTTGGATTATCAAACTATGTAGTCTACAATTCTGTGAATAATTTAATGACAATAAAAATTTGATATTGTTCAATACAAAATCCGTTCAATCTCTTTGCTATTACAAAAATTAAGCAGACAAATCACTCCACGAACTGAGAAAGGCCTTGGGGACGAAGTGAAGTTCTCCACCGTAAGCATAAGACGTAGACCATCACTGGACCAAGAGGCGACGCCAGTTGTATCGTTGGACCACCACTTGATTCACGCTAACAATTATATCCACATATACAAACATTACAACTTCTCTTTATAACAACTCAGTAGTTGGTTTATAAAAATCTGTAAACGACAATTCTGTAAATAATTTGATGATAATATATATTGTTCAATACACACTACGTTCCTTTTTTCATGAACGGCAAACGAATACAGACCTGTTATATAATATAAATATAAAATTTTTAAAGTCAGCAAATCATTCACAGAATTGTCGCCTACGTAGTTTTATAAGCCAATTACTAAGTTGTTATAAGGTGAAGTTGTAATGTTTATACCTCACTTAAGTGAAAATAAATGGCATGGTTATGAACCATAGAGTTGCACAGATGTATTGCCCATAATCCAATGAACGCATACATTGCATAAATGCAAGAACCTCAATATATATTGTTGTCTCTAAAAACGTTTAATTGTAATTATATGCAATTTGTGTGTTGTGCCATGTTTTTAAAAATTATGTAAATCCGAAGACATTTCGCAACATTGTTTAGGCATAAAAAAGTGTTTTTATTGAAGAAAATAATATATAGCTTGCCAGTAAAACGGTGGTATATTTTTAATTTCTTTCAATAAACATATTTGTGACGCAGTTCGGGAAGATCGAAAGTTAGATGCTCGCAGGGTGTTCCAACCATAAACGATTAACGATGCGATGCAACCGTGTCAGTCGCTTCGCGGGATACCAAGGTATAATTTGACTGTGATGTGTCTGGGTAATACTTGTAATAGTAATGTGATTGAGTAATAACAGATATATTTTCATTTTCCGTTGAAGAGAAAAGAAACGGATTTTGTATTGAACAATATAAAATTTTTAATGTCAGGAAATTATTCACAGAATTGTAGCCTACATAGTTTGTGAGCCAACTACTAAGTTGTTATAAAGGGAACTTGTAATGTTTATAATTCATTCAAGTGAAAAAAGGCTTGGTCTGAAGTCTGACTGCCCCTGTGACCTTGTTTGTAATTATTAATTACAGGGATAGATTTTATAATAGCGAGAGGTATATCGCAATTTATTTCTGGGTGGGTTGAAGTTCTTTTAAAACTTTCCACTTGCGAAATTTCAATACACAAGTTTTCTCTTTAATAATTGTCATGGGAAAATAAAAGGTCTGTATTCATTTGCCGTTGAAGAAAAAAGGAACGGAGTTTGTATTGAACAATATATATTATCATTAAATTATTTACAGAATTGTCGTTTACAGATTTTTATAAACCAACTACTGAGTTGTTATAAAGAGAAGTTGTAATGTTTGTATATGTGGATATAATTTTAAGCGTGAATCAAGTGGTGGTCCAACAATACAACTGGCGTCGCCTCTTGGTCCAGTGATGGTCTACGTCTTATGCTTACGGTGGAGAACTTCACTTCGTCCCCAAGGCCGTTCTCAGTTCGTGGAGTGATTTGTCTGCTAAATTTTTGTAATAGCAAAGAGATTGAACGGATTTTGTATTGAACAATATCAAATTTTTATTGTCATTAAATTATTCACAGAATTGTAGACTACATAGTTTGATAAGCCAACTACTAAGTTGTTATAAAGGGAACTTGTAATGTTTATAATTCATTCAAGTGAAAAAAGGCTTGGTCTGAAGTCTAACTGAAATTTTTGAAATTTCGCAAGTGGAAAGTTTTAAAAGAACTTCAACACACCCAGAAATAAATTGCGACATACCTCTGGCTATTATAAAATCTATCCCTGTAATTAATAATTACAAACAAGGTCACGGGGGCAGTTTTGGTGTCGCGCCATTGAAGTAGAATAAATGGCATTATTCCTGGCAAATTCCTTTGTAGAATTCAGACTTCAGACCAAGCCTTTTTTTCACTAGAATGAATTTTAAACATTGCAAGTTCCCTTTATAACAACTTAGTAGTTGGCTTATCAAACTATGTAGTCTACAATTCTGTGAATAATTTAATGACAATAAAAATTTGATATTGTTCAATACAAAATCCGTTCAATCTCTTTACTATTACAAAAATTAAGCAGACAAATCACTCCACGAACTGAGAAAGGCCTTGGGGACGAAGTGAAGTTCTCCACCGTAAGCATAAGACGTAGACCATCACTGGACCAAGAGGCGACGCCAGTTGTATCGTTGGACCACCACTTGATTCACGCTAACAATTATATCCACATATACAAACATTACAACTTCTCTTTATAACAACTCAGTAGTTGGTTTATAAAAATCTGTAAACGACAATTCTGTAAATAATTTGATGATAATATATATTGTTCAATACACACTACGTTCCTTTTTTCATGAACGGCAAACGAATACAGACCTGTTATATAATATAAATATAAAATTTTTAAAGTCAGCAAATCATTCACAGAATTGTCGCCTACGTAGTTTTATAAGCCAATTACTAAGTTGTTATAAGGTGAAGTTGTAATGTTTATACCTCACTTAAGTGAAAATAAATGGCATGGTTATGAACCATAGAGTTGCACAGATGTATTGCCCATAATCCAATGAACGCATACATTGCATAAATGCAAGAACCTCAATATATATTGTTGTCTCTAAAAACGTTTAATTGTAATTATATGCAATTTGTGTGTTGTGCCATGTTTTTAAAAATTATGTAAATCCGAAGACATTTCGCAACATTGTTTAGGCATAAAAAAGTGTTTTTATTGAAGAAAATAATATATAGCTTGCCAGTAAAACGGTGGTATATTTTTAATTTCTTTCAATAAACATATTTGTGACGCAGTTCGGGAAGATCGAAAGTTAGATGCTCGCAGGGTGTTCCAACCATAAACGATTAACGATGCGATGCAACCGTGTCAGTCGCTTCGCGGGATACCAAGGTATAATTTGACTGTGATGTGTCTGGGTAATACTTGTAATAGTAATGTGATTGAGTAATAACAGATATATTTTCATTTTCCGTTGAAGAGAAAAGAAACGGATTTTGTATTGAACAATATAAAATTTTTAATGTCAGGAAATTATTCACAGAATTGTAGCCTACATAGTTTGTGAGCCAACTACTAAGTTGTTATAAAGGGAACTTGTAATGTTTATAATTCATTCAAGTGAAAAAAGGCTTGGTCTGAAGTCTGACTGCCCCTGTGACCTTGTTTGTAATTATTAATTACAGGGATAAATTTTATAATAGCGAGAGGTATATCGCAATTTATTTCTGTGTGGGTTGAAGTTCTTTTAAAACTTTCCACTTGTGAAATTTCAATACACAAGTTTTCTCTTTAATAATTGTCATGGGAAAATAAAAGGTCTGTATTCATTTGCCGTTGAAGAAAAAAGGAACGGAGTTTGTATTGAACAATATATATTATCATTAAATTATTTACAGAATTGTCGTTTACAGATTTTTATAAACCAACTACTGAGTTGTTATAAAGAGAAGTTGTAATGTTTGTATATGTGGATATAATTTTAAGCGTGAATCAAGTGGTGGTCCAACAATACAACTGGCGACGCCTCTTGGTCCACTGATGGTCTACGTCTTATGCTTACGGTGGAGAACTTCACTTCGTCCCCAAGGCCGTTCTCAGTTCGTGGAGTGATTTGTCTGCTAAATTTTTGTAATAGCAAAGAGATTGAACGGATTTTGTATTGAACAATATCAAATTTTTATTGTCATTAAATTATTCACAGAATTGTAGACTATATAGTTTGATAAGCCAACTACTAAGTTGTTATAAAGGGAACTTGTAATGTTTATAATTCTGAAGTCTGAAGTCTGACTGAAAGTTTTGAAATTTCGCAAGTGGAAAGTTTTAAAAGAACTTCAACCCACCCAGAAATAAATTGCGACATACCTCTGGCTATTATAAAATCTATCCCTGTAATTAATAATTACAAACAAGGTCACGGGGGCAGTTTTGGTGTCGCGCCATTGAAGTAGAATAAATGGCATTATTCCTGGCAAATTCCTTTGTAGAATTCAGACTTCAGACCAAGCCTTTTTTTCACTAGAATGAATTTTAAACATTGCAAGTTCCCTTTATAACAACTTAGTAGTTGGCTTATCAAACTATGTAGTCTACAATTCTGTGAATAATTTAATGACAATAAAAATTTGATATTGTTCAATACAAAATCCGTTCAATCTCTTTACTATTACAAAAATTAAGCAGACAAATCACTCCACGAACTGAGAAAGGCCTTGGGGACGAAGTGATAAATAAATAAATTGCGACATACCTCTGGCTATTATAAAATCTATCCCTGTAATTAATAATTACAAACAAGGTCACGGGGGCAGTTTTGGTGTCGCGCCATTGAAGTAGAATAAATGGCATTATTCCTGGCAAATTCCTTTGTAGAATTCAGACTTCAGACCAAGCCTTTTTTTCACTAGAATGAATTATAAACATTGCAAGTTCCCTTTATAACAACTTAGTAGTTGGATTATCAAACTATGTAGTCTACAATTCTGTGAATAATTTAATGACAATAAAAATTTGATATTGTTCAATACAAAATCCGTTCAATCTCTTTGCTATTACAAAAATTAAGCAGACAAATCACTCCACGAACTGAGAAAGGCCTTGGGGACGAAGTGAAGTTCTCCACCGTAAGCATAAGACGTAGACCATCACTGGACCAAGAGGCGACGCCAGTTGTATCGTTGGACCACCACTTGATTCACGCTAACAATTATATCCACATATACAAACATTACAACTTCTCTTTATAACAACTCAGTAGTTGGTTTATAAAAATCTGTAAACGACAATTCTGTAAATAATTTGATGATAATATATATTGTTCAATACACACTACGTTCCTTTTTTCATGAACGGCAAACGAATACAGACCTGTTATATAATATAAATATAAAATTTTTAAAGTCAGCAAATCATTCACAGAATTGTCGCCTACGTAGTTTTATAAGCCAATTACTAAGTTGTTATAAGGTGAAGTTGTAATGTTTATACCTCACTTAAGTGAAAATAAATGGCATGGTTATGAACCATAGAGTTGCACAGATGTATTGCCCATAATCCAATGAACGCATACATTGCATAAATGCAAGAACCTCAATATATATTGTTGTCTCTAAAAACGTTTAATTGTAATTATATGCAATTTGTGTGTTGTGCCATGTTTTTAAAAATTATGTAAATCCGAAGACATTTCGCAACATTGTTTAGGCATAAAAAAGTGTTTTTATTGAAGAAAATAATATATAGCTTGCCAGTAAAACGGTGGTATATTTTTAATTTCTTTCAATAAACATATTTGTGACGCAGTTCGGGAAGATCGAAAGTTAGATGCTCGCAGGGTGTTCCAACCATAAACGATTAACGATGCGATGCAACCGTGTCAGTCGCTTCGCGGGATACCAAGGTATAATTTGACTGTGATGTGTCTGGGTAATACTTGTAATAGTAATGTGATTGAGTAATAACAGATATATTTTCATTTTCCGTTGAAGAGAAAAGAAACGGATTTTGTATTGAACAATATAAAATTTTTAATGTCAGGAAATTATTCACAGAATTGTAGCCTACATAGTTTGTGAGCCAACTACTAAGTTGTTATAAAGGGAACTTGTAATGTTTATAATTCATTCAAGTGAAAAAAGGCTTGGTCTGAAGTCTGACTGCCCCTGTGACCTTGTTTGTAATTATTAATTACAGGGATAAATTTTATAATAGCGAGAGGTATATCGCAATTTATTTCTGTGTGGGTTGAAGTTCTTTTAAAACTTTCCACTTGTGAAATTTCAATACACAAGTTTTCTCTTTAATAATTGTCATGGGAAAATAAAAGGTCTGTATTCATTTGCCGTTGAAGAAAAAAGGAACGGAGTTTGTATTGAACAATATATATTATCATTAAATTATTTACAGAATTGTTTACAGATTTTTATAAACCAACTACTGAGTTGTTATAAAGAGAAGTTGTAATGTTTGTATATGTGGATATAATTTTAAGCGTGAATTAAGTGGTGGTCCAACAATACAACTGGCGACGCCTCTTGGTCCAGTGATGGTCTACGTCTTATGCTTACGGTGGAGAACTTCACTTCGTCCCCAAGGCCGTTCTCAGTTCGTGGAGTGATTTGTCTGCTAAATTTTTGTAATAGCAAAGAGATTGAACGGATTTTGTATTGAACAATATCAAATTTTTATTGTCATTAAATTATTCACAGAATTGTAGACTATACAGTTTGATAAGCCAACTACTAAGTTGTTATAAAGGGAACTTGTAATGTTTATAATTCTGAAGTCTGAAGTCTGACTGAAAGTTTTGAAATTTCGCAAGTGGAAAGTTTTAAAAGAACTTCAACCCACCCAGAAATAAATTGCGACATACCTCTGGCTATTATAAAATCTATCCCTGTAATTAATAATTACAAACAAGGTCACGGGGGCAGTTTTGGTGTCGCGCCATTGAAGTAGAATAAATGGCATTATTCCTGGCAAATTCCTTTGTAGAATTCAGACTTCAGACCAAGCCTTTTTTCAGTTGAATGAATTATAAACATTACAAGTTCCCTTTATAACAACTTAGTAGTTGGCTTATCAAACTATGTAGGCTACAATTCTGTGAATAATTTCCTGACATTAAAAATTTTATATTGTTCAATACAAAATCCGTTTCTTTTCTCTTCAACGGAAAATGAAAATATATCTGTTATTACTCAATCACATTACTATTACAAGTATTACCCAGACACATCACAGTCAAATTATGCCTTGGTATCCCGCGAAGCGACTGACACGGTTGCATCGCATCGTTAATCGTTTATGGTTGGAACACTAAGGCGGCAATACCTCTGGTTCCCCTGCGAACATCTAACTTTCGATCTTCTCGAACTGCGTCACAAATATGTTTATTGAAAAATTAAAAATATACCACCGTTTTACTGGCAAGCTATATATTATTTTCTTCAATAAAAACACTTTTTTATGCCTAAACAATGTTGCGAAATGTCTTCGGATTTACATAATTTTTAAAAACATGGCACAACACACAAATTGCATATAATTACAATTAAACGTTTTTAGAGACAACAATATTTATTGAGGTTCTTGCATTTATACAATGTATGCGTTCATTGGATTATGGGCAATACATCTGTGCAGCTCTATGGTTCATAACCATGCCATTTATTTTCATTTAAATGACGTATAAATATTACAACTTCACCTTATAACAACTTAGTAATTGGCTTATAAAACGACGTAGGCGACAATTCTGTGAATGATTTGCTGACTTTACAAATTTTATATTTATATTATATAACAGGTCTGTATTCGTTTGCCGTTAATGAAAAAAGGAACGGAGTTTGTATTGAACAATATATATTATCATTAAATTATTTACAGAATTGTCGTTTACAGATTTTTATAAACCAACTACTGAGTTGTTATAAAGTGAAGTTGTAATGTTTGTATATGTGGATATAATAATTGTAAGCGTGTGGTGTGGTGTGGTGGTCTAACGATACAACTGGCGTCGCCTCTTGGTCCAGCGATGGTATACGTCTCATGATGACTACGGTGAAGAACGACTTCGTCCCCAAGGCCGATCTCAGTTTGTGGAGTGATTTGTCTGGATAATTGCGATAATAGCAATGATATTGAGCAATAACGGGTCTGTATTCATTTGCCGTTAAAGAAAAACGAAACGGATTTTTTATTGAACAATATAAAATTTTAAACACTTGAATTGGATTTACTTTATATTTAATATAATTTAATTATTATTATTTTTTTTTTAGATGAGCACTCCACTTACATGACTTTCTCAGCTTTGTTTAGTTCGTTATCTTAAATTATTTTTTTTTTATTTGGTTTGCGTTGTTTTGTTTTGTTGCAGTTCCCGCGATGCTGAGTTGCTGCTTACAAATTTTGGGTTGAGTAGTTCGAACCACCGTTGGGCGCCGGTTAGTGTTTCTCGTCTTCACTTGTTTGGTTTTACGAAATAAAGACAAAGGTATTTTCGTCGTGTGCCGCTTTAATGTTAAAATCAAACTAAAACTAAAAATACCAAGATTCTTATGTGAAGCTAGCCCTGCCCTATATTCGCTGCACATGGTACGTTGACCGCTACCAAAAGGTTCTTGGAACTCGCTGACTACAACATCGTTGTAATATTATTCTGTACAACGATCAAGTTCGGAACTTGTTTATGCACAAAAAGATTATTATTGGTTAATTGCTGGTTGGACGTGTTAACATATATGCGTGCCACTAAAATTATATTATACCTCCAATTTCTTTGTGACGCAGATCGAGAGGATCGAAACTTAGATGTCCGCATAATGTAAGCTTAATTTAACTGTGATGTGTCTGGTTAATTTTTGTAATAGCATTGAGATTTAGTAATAACATGTCTTTTGCCGTGAAAGAAAAAGAAACGGATTTTGTATTGAACAATATAAAATTTTTTAAGTCAGCAAATCATTCACAGAATTGTCGCCTACGTCGTTGTATAAGCCAATTACTAAGTTGTTATAAAGTGAGGTTGTAATGTTTATACCTCACTTAATTGAAAATAAATGGCATGGTTATGAACCATAGAAATGCACAGATGTATTGCCCATAATCCAATGAACGCATACATTGTATAAATGCAAGAGCCTCAATATATATTGTTGTCTCTAAAAACGTTTAATTGTAATTATATGCAATTTGTGTGTTGTGCCATGTTTTTAAAAATTATGTAAATCCGAAAACATTTCGCAACATTGTTTAGGCATAAAAAAGTGTTTTTATTGAAGAAAGTAATAAATAGCTTGCCAGGAAAACGGTGGTATATTTTTAATTTCTTTCAATAAACATATTTGTGACGCAGTTCGAGAGGATCGAAAGGTAGATGTGCGCAGGCGAACCAGAGGTATTGCCGCCCTAGTGTTCCAACCATAAACGATAAACGATGCGATGCAACCGTGTCAGTCGCTTCGCGGGATACCAAGGTATAATTTGACTGTGATGTGTCTGGGTAATACTTGTAATAGTAATGTGATTGAGTAATAACAGATATATTTTCATTTACCGTTAAAGAGAAAAGAAACGGATTTTGTATTGAACAATATAAAATTATTAATGTCAGTAAATTATTCACAGAATTGTAGCCTACATAGTTTGTGAGCCAACTACTAAGTTGTTATAAAGGGAACTTGTAATGTTTATAATTCATTCAAGTGAAAAAAGGCTTGGTCTGAAGTCTGACTGCCCCTGTGACCTTGTTTGTAATTATTAATTACAGGGATAAATTTTATAATAGCGAGAGGTATATCGCAATTTATTTCTGTGTGGGTTGAAGTTCTTTTAAAACTTTCCACTTGTGAAATTTCAATACACAAGTTTTCTCTTTAATAATTGTCATGGGAAAATAAAAGGTCTGTATTCATTTGCCGTTGAAGAAAAAAGGAACGGAGTTTGTATTGAACAATATATATTATCATTAAATTATTTACAGAATTGTCGTTTACAGATTTTTATAAACCAACTACTGAGTTGTTATAAAGAGAAGTTGTAATGTTTGTATATGTGGATATAATTTTAAGCGTGAATCAAGTGGTGGTCCAACAATACAACTGGCGTCGCCTCTTGGTCCAGTGATGGTCTACGTCTTATGCTTACGGTGGAGAACTTCACTTCGTCCCCAAGGCCGTTCTCAGTTCGTGGAGTGATTTGTCTGCTAAATTTTTGTAATAGCAAAGAGATTGAACGGATTTTGTATTGAACAATATCAAATTTTTATTGTCATTAAATTATTCACAGAATTGTAGACTATATAGTTTGATAAGCCAACTACTAAGTTGTTATAAAGGGAACTTGTAATGTTTATAATTCTGAAGTCTGAAGTCTGACTGAAAGTTTTGAAATTTCGCAAGTGGAAAGTTTTAAAAGAACTTCAACCCACCCAGAAATAAATTGCGACATACCTCTGGCTATTATAAAATCTATCCCTGTAATTAATAATTACAAACAAGGTCACGGGGGCAGTTTTGGTGTCGCGCCATTGAAGTAGAATAAATGGCATTATTCCTGGCAAATTCCTTTGTAGAATTCAGACTTCAGACCAAGCCTTTTTTCAGTTGAATGAATTATAAGCATTACAAGTTCCCTTTATAACAACTTAGTAGTTGGCTTATCAAACTATGTAGGCTACAATTCTGTGAATAATTTCCTGACATTAAAAATTTTATATTGTTCAATACAAAATCCGTTCAATCTCTTTGCTATTACAAAAATTTAGCAGACAAATCACTCCACGAACTGAGAACGGCCTTGGGGACGAAGTGAAGTTCTCCACCGTAAGCATAAGACGTAGACCATCACTGGACCAAGAGGCGACGCCAGTTGTATCGTTGGACCACCACTTGATTCACGCTAACAATTATATCCACATATACAAACATTACAACTTCTCTTTATAACAACTCAGTAGTTGGTTTATAAAAATCTGTAAACGACTATTCTGTAAATAATTTGATGATAATATATATTGTTCAATACACACTACGTTCCTTTTTTCATGAACGGCAAACGAATACAGACCTGTTATATAATATAAATATAAAATTTTTAAAGTCAGCAAATCATTCACAGAATTGTCGCCTACGTAGTTTTATAAGCCAATTACTAAGTTGTTATAAGGTGAAGTTGTAATGTTTATACCTCACTTAAGTGAAAATAAATGGCATGGTTATGAACCATAGAGTTGCACAGATGTATTGCCCATAATCCAATGAACGCATACATTGCATAAATGCAAGAACCTCAATATATATTGTTGTCTCTAAAAACGTTTAATTGTAATTATATGCAATTTGTGTGTTGTGCCATGTTTTTAAAAATTATGTAAATCCGAAGACATTTCGCAACATTGTTTAGGCATAAAAAAGTGTTTTTATTGAAGAAAATAATATATAGCTTGCCAGTAAAACGGTGGTATATTTTTAATTTCTTTCAATAAACATATTTGTGACGCAGTTCGGGAAGATCGAAAGTTAGATGCTCGCAGGGTGTTCCAACCATAAACGATTAACGATGCGATGCAACCGTGTCAGTCGCTTCGCGGGATACCAAGGTATAATTTGACTGTGATGTGTCTGGGTAATACTTGTAATAGTAATGTGATTGAGTAATAACAGATATATTTTCATTTTCCGTTGAAGAGAAAAGAAACGGATTTTGTATTGAACAATATAAAATTTTTAATGTCAGGAAATTATTCACAGAATTGTAGCCTACATAGTTTGTGAGCCAACTACTAAGTTGTTATAAAGGGAACTTGTAATGTTTATAATTCATTCAAGTGAAAAAAGGCTTGGTCTGAAGTCTGACTGCCCCTGTGACCTTGTTTGTAATTATTAATTACAGGGATAAATTTTATAATAGCGAGAGGTATATCGCAATTTATTTCTGTGTGGGTTGAAGTTCTTTTAAAACTTTCCACTTGTGAAATTTCAATACACAAGTTTTCTCTTTAATAATTGTCATGGGAAAATAAAAGGTCTGTATTCATTTGCCGTTGAAGAAAAAAGGAACGGAGTTTGTATTGAACAATATATATTATCATTAAATTATTTACAGAATTGTCGTTTACAGATTTTTATAAACCAACTACTGAGTTGTTATAAAGAGAAGTTGTAATGTTTGTATATGTGGATATAATTTTAAGCGTGAATCAAGTGGTGGTCCAACGATACAACTGGCGTCGCCTCTTGGTCCAGTGATGGTCTACGTCTTATGCTTACGGTGGAGAACTTCACTTCGTCCCCAAGGCCGTTCTCAGTTCGTGGAGTGATTTGTCTGCTAAATTTTTGTAATAGCAAAGAGATTGAACGGATTTTGTATTGAACAATATCAAATTTTTATTGTCATTAAATTATTCACAGAATTGTAGACTATATAGTTTGATAAGCCAACTACTAAGTTGTTGTAAAGGGAACTTGTAATGTTTATAATTCTGAAGTCTGAAGTCTGACTGAAAGTTTTGAAATTTCGCAAGTGGAAAGTTTTAAAAGAACTTCAACCCACCCAGAAATAAATTGCGACATACCTCTGGCTATTATAAAATCTATCCCTGTAATTAATAATTACAAACAAGGTCACGGGGGCAGTTTTGGTGTCGCGCCATTGAAGTAGAATAAATGGCATTATTCCTGGCAAATTCCTTTGTAGAATTCAGACTTCAGACCAAGCCTTTTTTCAGTTGAATGAATTATAAACATTACAAGTTCCCTTTATAACAACTTAGTAGTTGGCTTATCAAACTATGTAGGCTACAATTCTGTGAATAATTTCCTGACATTAAAAATTTTATATTGTTCAATACAAAATCCGTTTCTTTTCTCTTCAACGGAAAATGAAAATATATCTGTTATTACTCAATCACATTACTATTACAAGTATTACCCAGACACATCACAGTCAAATTATGCCTTGGTATCCCGCGAAGCGACTGACACGGTTGCATCGCATCGTTAATCGTTTATGGTTGGAACACTAAGGCGGCAATACCTCTGGTTCCCCTGCGAACATCTAACTTTCGATCTTCTCGAACTGCGTCACAAATATGTTTATTGAAAAATTAAAAATATACCACCGTTTTACTGGCAAGCTATATATTATTTTCTTCAATAAAAACACTTTTTTATGCCTAAACAATGTTGCGAAATGTCTTCGGATTTACATAATTTTTAAAAACATGGCACAACACACAAATTGCATATAATTACAATTAAACGTTTTTAGAGACAACAATATATATTGAGGTTCTTGCATTTATACAATGTATGCGTTCATTGGATTATGGGCAATACATCTGTGCAACTCTATGGTTCATAACCATGCCATTTATTTTCATTTAAATGACGTATAAACATTACAACTTCACCTTATAACAACTTAGTAATTGGCTTATAAAACGACGTAGGCGACAATTCTGTGAATGATTTGCTGACTTTAAAAATTTTATATTTATATTATATAACAGGTCTGTATTCGTTTGCCGTTAATGAAAAAAGGAACAGAGTTTGTATTGAACAATATATATTATCATTAAATTATTTACAGAATTGTCGTTTACAGATTTTTATAAACCAACTACTGAGTTGTTATAAAGTGAAGTTGTAATGTTTGTATATGTGGATATAATAATTGTAAGCGTGTGGTGTGGTGTGGTGGTCTAACGATACAACTGGCGTCGCCTCTTGGTCCAGCGATGGTATACGTCTCATGATGACTACGGTGAAGAACGACTTCGTCCCCAAGGCCGATCTCAGTTTGTGGAGTGATTTGTCTGGATAATTGCGATAATAGCAATGATATTGAGCAATAACGGGTCTGTATTCATTTGCCGTTAAAGAGAAACGAAACCGATTTTTTATTGAACAATATAAAATTTTAAACACTTGAATTGGATTTACTTTATATTTAATATAATTTAATTATTATTATTTTTTTTTTTAGATGAGCACTCCACTTACATGACTTTCTCAGCTTTGTTTAGTTCGTTATCTTAAATTATTTTTTTTTTATTTGGTTTGCGTTGTTTTGTTTTGTTGCAGTTCCCGCGATGCTGAGTTGCTGCTTACAAATTTTGGGTTGAGTAGTTCGAACCACCGTTGGGCGCCGGTTAGTGTTTCTCGTCTTCACTTGTTTGGTTTTACGAAATAAAGACAAAGGTATTTTCGTCGTGTGCCGCTTTAATGTTAAAATCAAACTAAAACTAAAAATACCAAGTTTCTTATGTGAAGCTAGCCCTGCCCTATATTCGCTGCACATGGTACGTTGACCGCTACCAAATGGTTCTTGGAACTCGCTGACTACAACATCGTTGTAATATTATTCTGTACAACGATCAAGTTCGGAACTTGTTTATGCACAAAAAGATTATTATTGGCTAATTGCTGGTTGGACGTGTTAATATATATGCGTGCCACTAAAATTATATTATACCTCCAATTTCTTTGTGACGCAGATCGAGAGGATCGAAACTTAGATGTCCGCATAATGTAAGCGTAATTTAACTGTGATGTATCTGGTTAATTTTTGTAATAGCATTGAGATTTAGTAATAACATGTCTTTTGCCGTGAAAGAAAAAGAAACGGATTTTGTTTTGAACAATATAAAATTTTTTAAGTCAGCAAATCATTCACAGAATTGTCGCCTACGTCGTTGTATAAGCCAATTACTAAGTTGTTATAAGGTGAAGTTGTAATGTTTATACCTCACTTAAGTGAAAATAAATGGCATGGTTATGAACCATAGAAATGCACAGATGTATTGCCCATAATCCAATGAACGCATACATTGTATAAATGCAAGAACCTCAATATATATTGTTGTCTCTAAAAACGTTTAATTGTAATTATATGCAATTTGTGTGTTGTGCCATGTTTTTAAAAATTATGTAAATCCGAAAACATTTCGCAACATTGTTTAGGCATAAAAAAGTGTTTTTATTGAAGAAAGTAATAAATAGCTTGCCAGGAAAACGGTGGTATATTTTTAATTTCTTTCAATAAACATATTTGTGACGCAGTTCGAGAGGATCGAAAGGTAGATGTGCGCAGGCGAACCAGAGGTATTGCCGCCCTAGTGTTCCAACCATAAACGATAAACGATGCGATGCAACCGTGTCAGTCGCTTCGCGGGATACCAAGGTATAACTTGACTGTGATGTGTCTGGGTAATACTTGTAATAGTAATGTGATTGAGTAATAACAGATATATTTTCATTTACCGTTAAAGAGAAAAGAAACGGATTTTGTATTGAACAATATAAAATTATTAATGTCAGTAAATTATTCACAGAATTGTAGCCTACATAGTTTGTGAGCCAACTACTAAGTTGTTATAAAGGGAACTTGTAATGTTTATAATTCATTCAAGTGAAAAAAGGCTTGGTCTGAAGTCTGACTGCCCCTGTGACCTTGTTTGTAATTATTAATTACAGGGATAAATTTTATAATAGCGAGAGGTATATCGCAATTTATTTCTGTGTGGGTTGAAGTTCTTTTAAAACTTTCCACTTGCGAAATTTCAATACACAAGTTTTCTCTTTAATAATTGTCATGGGAAAATAAAAGGTCTGTATTCATTTGCCGTTGAAGAAAAAAGGAACGGAGTTTGTATTGAACAATATATATTATCATTAAATTATTTACAGAATTGTCGTTTACAGATTTTTATAAACCAACTACTGAGTTGTTATAAAGAGAAGTTGTAATGTTTGTATATGTGGATATAATTTTAAGCGTGAATCAAGTGGTGGTCCAACAATACAACTGGCGTCGCCTCTTGGTCCAGTGATGGTCTACGTCTTATGCTTACGGTGGAGAACTTCACTTCGTCCCCAAGGCCGTTCTCAGTTCGTGGAGTGATTTGTCTGCTAAATTTTTGTAATAGCAAAGAGATTGAACGGATTTTGTATTGAACAATATCAAATTTTTATTGTCATTAAATTATTCACAGAATTGTAGACTACATAGTTTGATAAGCCAACTACTAAGTTGTTATAAAGGGAACTTGTAATGTTTATAATTCTGAAGTCTGAAGTCTGACTGAAAGTTTTGAAATTTCGCAAGTGGAAAGTTTTAAAAGAACTTCAACCCACCCAGAAATAAATTGCGACATACCTCTGGCTATTATAAAATCTATCCCTGTAATTAATAATTACAAACAAGGTCACGGGGGCAGTTTTGGTGTCGCGCCATTGAAGTAGATAAATGGCATTATTCCTGGCAAATTCCTTTGTAGAATTCAGACTTCAGACCAAGCCTTTTTTCAGTTGAATGAATTATAAACATTACAAGTTCCCTTTATAACAACTTAGTAGTTGGCTTATCAAACTATGTAGGCTACAATTCTGTGAATAATTTCCTGACATTAAAAATTTTATATTGTTCAATACAAAATCCGTTTCTTTTCTCTTCAACGGAAAATGAAAATATATCTGTTATTACTCAATCACATTACTATTACAAGTATTACCCAGACACATCACAGTCAAATTATGCCTTGGTATCCCGCGAAGCGACTGACACGGTTGCATCGCATCGTTAATCGTTTATGGTTGGAACACTAAGGCGGCAATACCTCTGGTTCCCCTGCGAACATCTAACTTTCGATCTTCTCGAACTGCGTCACAAATATGTTTATTGAAAAATTAAAAATATACCACCGTTTTACTGGCAAGCTATATATTATTTTCTTCAATAAAAACACTTTTTTATGCCTAAACAATGTTGCGAAATGTCTTCGGATTTACATAATTTTTAAAAACATGGCACAACACACAAATTGCATATAATTACAATTAAACGGTTTTAGAGACAACAATATATATTGAGGTTCTTGCATTTATACAATGTATGCGTTCATTGGATTATGGGCAATACATCTGTGCAACTCTATGGTTCATAACCATGCCATTTATTTTCATTTAAATGACGTATAAACATTACAACTTCACCTTATAACAACTTAGTAATTGGCTTATAAAACGACGTAGGCGACAATTCTGTGAATGATTTGCTGACTTTAAAAATTTTATATTTATATTATATAACAGGTCTGTATTCGTTTGCCGTTAATGAAAAAAGGAACGGAGTTTGTATTGAACAATATATATTATCATTAAATTATTTACAGAATTGTCGTTTACAGATTTTTATAAACCAACTACTGAGTTGTTATAAAGTGAAGTTGTAATGTTTGTATATGTGGATATAATAATTGTAAGCGTGTGGTGTGGTGTGGTGGTCTAACGATACAACTGGCGTCGCCTCTTGGTCCAGCGATGGTATACGTCTCATGATGACTACGGTGGAGAATGACTTCGTCCCCAAGGCCGATCTCAGTTTGTGGAGTGATATGTCTGGATAATTGCGATAATAGCAATGATATTGACCAATAACGGGTATTAATTTGCCGTTAAAGAAAAACGAAACGGATTTTTTATTGAACAATATAAAATTTTAAACACTTGAATTGGATTTCCTTTATATTTAATATAATTTAATTATTATTTTTTTTTAGATGAGCGCTCCCCTTACATGACTTTCTCAGCTTTGTTTAGTTCGTTATTATCTCAAATTATTTTTTTTTTATTTGGTTTGCGTTGTTTTGTTTTGTTGCAGTTCCCGCGTTGCCGATCCAGCGATGCTGAGTTGCTGCTTACAAATTTTGGGTTGAGTAGTTCGAACCACCGTTGGGCGCCGGTTAGTGTTTCTCGTCTTCACTTGTTTGGTTTTACGAATTAAAGACAAAAGTATTTTCGTCGTGTGCCGTTTTAATGTTCAAATCAAACTAAAACTAAAAATACAAAAAGATTCTTATGTGAAGCTAGCCCTGCCCTATATTTGCTGCACATGGTACGTTGACCGCTACCAAAAGGTTCTTGGAACTCGCTGACTACAACATCGTTGTAATATTATTCTGTACAACGATCAAGTTCGGAACTTGTTTATACACAAAAAGATTATTATTGGCTTATTGCTGGTTGGACGTGTTAACATATATGCGTGCCAGTAAAATTATATTATACCTCCAATTTCTTTGTGACGCAGATCGAGAGGATCGAAACTTAGATGTCCGCATAATGTAAGCGTAATTTAACTGTGATGTGTCTGGTTAATTTTTTTAATAGCATTGAGATTTAGTAATAACATGTCTTTTGCCGTGAAAGAAAAAGAAACGGATTTTGTATTGAACAATATAAAATTTTTTAAGTCAGCAAATCATTCACAGAATTGTCGCCTACGTAGTTTTATAGGCCAATTACTAAGTTGTTATAAGGTGAAGTTGTAATGTTTATACCTCACTTAAGTGAAAATAAATGGCATGGTTATGAACCATAGAGTTGCACAGATGTATTGCCCATAATCCAATGAACGCATAAATTGTATAAATGCAAGAGCCTCAATATATATTGTTGTCTCTAAAAACGTTTAATTGTAATTATATGCAATTTGTGTGTTGTGCCATGTTATTAAAAATTATGTAAATCCGAAAACAATTCGCAACATTGTTTAGGCATAAAAAAGTGTTTTTATTGAAGAAAGTAATATATAGCTTGCCAGTAAAACGGTGGTATATTTTTAATTTCTTTCAATAAACATATTTGTGACGCAGTTCGAGAGGATCGAAAGGTAGATGTGCGCAGGCGAACCAGAGGTATTGCCGCCCTAGTGTTCCAACCATAAACGATAAACGATTCAATGCAACCGTGTCAGTCGCTTCGCGGGATACCAAGGTATAATTTGACTGTGATGTGTCTGGGTAATACTTGTAATAGTAATGTGATTGAGTAATAACAGATATATTTTCATTTACCGTTAAAGAGAAAAGAAACGGATTTTGTATTGAACAATATAAAATTATTATTGTCAGTAAATTATTCACAGAATTGTAGCCTACATAGTTTGTGAGCCAACTACTAAGTTGTTATAAAGGGAACTTGTAATGTTTATAATCCATTCAAGTGAAAAAAGGCTTGGTCTGAAGTCTGACTGCCCCTGTGACCTTGTTTGTAATTATTAATTACAGGGATAGATTTTATAATAGCGAGAGGTATATCGCAATTTATTTCTGGGTGGGTTGAAGTTCTTTTAAAACTTTCAACTTGCGAAATTTCACTACACAAGTTTTCTCTCTAATAATTGTCATGGGATAATAAAAGGTCTGTATTCATTTGCCGTTGAAGAAAAAAGGAACGGAGTTTGTATTGAACAATATATATTATCATTAAATTATTTACAGAATTGTCGTTTACAGATTTTTATAAACCAACTACTGAGTTGTTATAAAGAGAAGTTGTAATGTTTGTATATGTGGATATAATTGTAAGCGTGAATCAAGTGGTGGTCCAACGATACAACTGGCGTCGCCTCTTGGTCCAGTGATGGTCTACGTCTTATGCTTACGGTGGAGAACTTCACTTCGTCCCCAAGGCCGTTCTCAGTTCGTGGAGTGATTTGTCTGCTTAATTTTTGTAATAGCAAAGAGATTGAACGGATTTTGTATTGAACAATATCAAATTTTTATTGTCATCAAATTATTCACAGAATTGTAGACTACATAGTTTGATAAGCCAACTACTAAGTTGTTATAAAGGGAACTTGTAATGTTTATAATTCATTCATGTGAAAAAAGGCTTGGTCTGAAGTCTGACTGAAATTTTTGAAATTTCGCAAGTGGAAAGTTTTAAAAGAACTTCAACCCACCCAGAAATAAATTGCGACATACCTCTGGCTATTATAAAATCTATCCCTGTAATTAATAATTACAAACAAGGTCACGGGGGCAGTTTTGGTGTCGCGCCATTGAAGTAGAATAAATGGCATTATTCCTGGCAAATTCCTTTGTAGAATTCAGACTTCAGACCAAGCCTTTTTTTCACTAGAATGAATTTTAAACATTGCAAGTTCCCTTTTTAACAACTTAGTAGTTGGCTTATCAAACTATGTCAGCTACAATTCTGTGAATAATTTCCTGACATTAAAAATTTTATATTGTTCAATACAAAATCCGTTTCTTTTCTCTTTAACGGTAAATGAAAATATATCTGTTATTACTCAATCACATTACTATTACAAGAATTACCCAGACACATCACAGTCAAATTATACCTTGGTATCCCGCGAAGCGACTGACACGGTTGCATCGCATCGTTAATCGTTTATGGTTGGAACACTACGGCGGCAATACCTCTGGTTCCCCTGCGAGCATCTAACTTTCGATCTTCCCGAACTGCGTCACAAATATGTTTATTGAAAGAAATTAAAAATATACCACCGTTTTACTGGCAAGCTATATATTATTTTCTTCAATAAAAACACTTTTTTATGCCTAAACAATGTTGCGAAATGTCTTCGGATTTACATAATTTTTAAAAACATGGCACACAAATTGCATATAATTACAATTAAACGGTTTTAGAGACAACAATATATATTGAGGTTCTTGCATTTATACAATGTATGCGTTCATTGGATTATGGGCAATACATCTGTGCAACTCTATGGTTCATAACCATGCCATTTATTTTCACTTAAGTGAGGTATAAACATTACAACTTCACCTTATAATAACTTAGTAATTGGCTTATAAAACTATGTAGACGACAATTCTGTGAATGATTTGCTGACTTTAAAAATTTTATATTTATATTATATAACAGGTCTGTATTCGTTTGCCGTTAATGAAAAAAGGAACGGAGTGTGTATTGAACAATATATATTATCATTAAATTATTTACAGAATTGTCGTTTACAGATTTTTATAAACCAACTACTGAGTTGTTATAAAGTGAAGTTGTAATATTTGTATATGTGGATATAATAATTGTAAGCGTGAATAAAGTGGTGGTCTAACGATACAACTGGCGTCGCCTCTTGGTCCAGCGATGGTATACGTCTCATGATGACTACGGTGGAGAATGACTTCGTCCCCAAGGCCGATCTCAGTTTGTGGAGTGATATGTCTGGATAATTGCGATAATAGCAATGATATTGACCAATAACGGGTATTAATTTGCCGTTAAAGAAAAACGAAACGGATTTTTTATTGAACAATATAAAATTTTAAACACTTGAATTGGATTTACTTTATATTTAATATAATTTAATTATTATTATTTTTTTTTTAGATGAGCACTCTCCTTACATGACTTTCTCAGCTTTGTTTAGTTCGTTATTATCTCAAATTATTTTTTTTTTATTTGGTTTGCGTTGTTTTGTTTTGTTGCAGTTCCCGCGTTGCCGATCCAGCGATGCTGAGTTGCTGCTTACAAATTTTGGGTTGAGTAGTTCGAACCACCGTTGGGCGCCGGTTAGTGTTTCTCGTCTTCACTTGTTTGGTTTTACGAAATAAAGACAAAGGTATTTTCGTCGTGTGCCGCTTTAATGTTCAAATCAAACTAAAACTAAAAATACCAAGATTCTTATGTGAAGCTAGCCCTGCCCTATATTCGCTGACTCAGCGATTTGGCCAAACGGATCATGTGGTTTGCACATGGTACGTTGACCGCTACCAAAAGGTTCTTGGAACTCTCTGACTACAACATCGTTGTAATATTATTCTGTACAACGATCAAGTTCGGAACTTGTTTATGCAGAAAAAGATTATTATTGGCTTATTGCTGGACGTGTTAACATATATGCGTGCCACAAAAATTATATTATACCTCCAATTTCTTTGTGACGCAGATCGAGAGGATCGAAACTTAGATGTCCGCATAATGTAAGCGTAATTTAACTGTGATGTGTCTGGTTAATTTTTGTAATAGCATTGAGATTTAGTAATAACATGTCTTTTGCCGTGAAAGAAAAAGAAACGGATTTTGTATTGAACAATATAAAATTTTTTAAGTCAGCAAATCATTCACAGAATTGTCGCCTACATAGTTTAATAAGCCAATTACTAAGTTGTTATAAGGTGAAGTTGTAATGTTTATACCTCACTTAAGTAAAAATAAATGGCATGGTTATGAACCATAGAGTTGCACAGATGTATTGCCCATAATCCAATGAACGCATACATTGTATAAATGCAAGAACCTCAATATATATTGTTGTCTCTAAAAACGTTTAATTGTAATTATATGCAATTTGTGTGTTGTGCCATGTTATTAAAAATTATGTAAATCCGAAAACAATTCGCAACATTGTTTAGGCATAAAAAAGTGTTTTTATTGAAGAAAGTAATAAATAGCTTGCCAGGAAAACGGTGGTATATTTTTAATTTCTTTCAATAAACATATTTGTGACGCAGTTCGAGAGGATCGAAAGGTAGATGTGCGCAGGCGAACCAGAGGTATTGCCGCCCTAGTGTAACAACCATAAACGATAAACGATCCAATGCAACCGTGTCAGTCGCTTCACGGGATACCAAGGTATAATTAGACTGTGATGTGTCTGGGTAATTCTTGTAATAGTAATGTGATTGAGTAATAACAGATATATTTTCATTTACCGTTAAAGAGAAAAGAAACGGATTTTGTATTGAACAATATAAAATTTTTAATGTCAGGAAATTATTCACAGAATTGTAGACTACATAGTTTGATAAGCCAACTACTAAGTTGTTATAAAGGGAACTTGTAATGTTTATAATTCATTCAAGTGAAAAAAGGTAGCTCGAACCACCGTTGGGCGCCGGTTAGTGTTTCTCGTGTTCACTTGTTTAGTTTTACGAAATAAAGACAAAAGTATTTCCAATTTCTTTGTGACGCAGATCGAGAGGATCGAAACTTAGATGTCCGCATAACTTAAGCGTAATTTAACTGTGATGTGTCAGGTTAATTTTTGTAATAGCATTGAGATTTTGTAATAACATGTCTTTTGCCGTGAAAGAAAAAGAAGCTGATGTATTGAACAATATAAAATTTTCAGCAAATCATTCACAGAATTGTCGCCTACATAGTTTAATAAGCCAATTACTAAGTTGTTATAAGGTGAAGTTGTAATGTTTATACCTCACTTAAGTGAAAATAAATGGCATGGTTATGAACCATAGAGTTGCACAGATGTATTGCCCATAATCCAATGAACGCATACATTGTATAAATGCAAGAGCCTCAATATATATTGTTGTCTCAAAAAACGTTTAATTGTAATTATATTTAATTTGTGTGTTGTGCCATGTTTTTAAAAATTATGTAAATCCGAAAACATTTCGCAACATTGTTTAGGCATAAAAAAGTGTTTTTATTGAAGAAAGTAATATATAGCTTGCCAATAAAACGGTGGTATATATTTAATTTCTTTCAATAAACATATTTGTGACGCAGTTCGAGAGGATCGAAAGGTAGATGTGCGCAGGCGAACCAGAGGTATTGCCGCCCTAGTGTTCCAACCATAAACGATAAACGATCCAATGCAACCGTGTCTGTCGCTTCGCGGGATACCAAGGTATAATTTGACTGTGATGTGTCTGGGTAATTCTTGTAATAGTAATGTGATTGAGTAATAACAGATATATTTTCATTTACCGTTAAAGAGAAAAGAAACGGATTTTGTATTGAACAATATAAAATTATTAATGTCAGTAAATTATTCACAGAATTGTAGCCTACATAGTTTGTGAGCCAACTACTAAGTTGTTATAAAGGGAACTTGTAATGTTTATAATTCATTCAAGTGAAAAAAGGCTTGGTCTGAAGTCTGACTGCCCCTGTGACCTTGTTTGTAATTATTAATTACAGGGATAGATTTTATAATAGCGAGAGGTATATCGCAATTTATTTCTGGGTGGGTTGAAGTTCTTTTAAAACTTTCCACTTGCGAAATTTCAATACACAAGTTTTCTCTTTAATAATTGTCATGGGATAATAAAAGGTCTGTATTCATTTGCCGTTGAAGAAAAAAGGAACGGAGTTTGTATTGAACAATATATATTATCATTAAATTATTTACAGAATTGTCGTTTACAGATTTTTATAAACTACTGAGTTGTTATAAAGAGAAGTTGTAATATTTGTATATGTGGATATAATTGTAAGCGTGAATCAAGTGGTGGTCCAACGATACAACTGGCGTCGCTTCTTGGTCCAGTGATGGTCTACGTCTTATGCTTACGGTGGAGAACTTCACTTCGTCCCCAAGGCCGTTCTCAGTTCGTGGAGTGATTTGTCTGCCTAATTTTTGTAATAGCAAAGAGATTGAACGGATTTTGTATTGAACAATATCAAATTTTTATTGTCATTAAATTATTCACAGAATTGTAGACTACATAGTTTGATAAGCCAACTACTAAGTTGTTATAAAGGGAACTTGTAATGTTTATAATTCATTCAAGTGAAAAAAGGCTTGGTCTGAAGTCTGACTGAAATTTTTGAAATTTCGCAAGTGGAAAGTTTTAAAAGAACTTCAACCCACCCAGAAATAAATTGCGACATACCTCTGGCTATTATAAAATCTATCCCTGTAATTAATAATTACAAACAAGGTCACGGGGGCAGTTTTGGTGTCGCGCCATTGGCAAATTCCTTTGTAGAATTCAGACTTCAGACCAAGCCTTTTTTTCACTTGAATGAATTTTAAACATTGCAAGTTCCCTTTATAACAACTTAGTAGTTGGCTTATCAAACTATGTAGGCTACAATTCTGTGAATAATTTCCTGACATTAAAAATTTTATATTGTTCAATACAAAATCCGTTATAAAGTGAAGTTGTAATGTTTGTATATGTGGATATAATAATTGTAAGCGTGAATAAAGTGGTGGTCTAACGATACAACTGGCGTCGCCTCTTGGTCCAGCGATGGTATAAGTCTCATGATGACTACGGTGGAGAATGACTTCGTCCCCAAGGCCGATGAGGTATAAACATTACAACTTCACCTTATAATAACTTGGTAATTGGCTTATAAAACTATGTAGGCGACAATTCTGTGAATGATTTGCTGACTTTAAAAATTTTATATTTATATTATATAACAGGTCTGTATTCGTTTGCCGTTGAAGAAAAAAGGAACGGAGTTTGTATTGAACAATATATATTATCATTAAATTATTTACAGAATTGTCGTTTACAGATTTTTATAAACCAACTACTAAGTTGTTATAAAGTGAAGTTGTAATGTTTGTATATGTGGATATAATAATTGTAAGCGTGAATAAAGTGGTGGTCTAACGATACAACTGGCGTCGCCTCTTGGTCCAGCGATGGTATAAGTCTCATGATGACTACGGTGGAGAATGACTTCGTCCCCAAGGCCGACGTCAGTTTGTGGAGTGATTTGTCTGGATAATTGCGATAATAGCAATGATATTGACCAATAACGGGTATTCATTTGCCGTTAAAGAAAAACGAAACCGATTTTTTATTGAACAATATAAAATTTTAAACACTTGAATTGGATTTACTTTATATTTAATATAATTTAATTATTATTATTTTTTTTTTAGATGAGCACTCTCCTTACATGACTTTCTCAGCTTTGTTTAGTTCGTTATTATCTCAAATTATTTTTTTTTTATTTGGTTTGCGTTGTTTTGTTTTGTTGCAGTTCCCGCGTTGCCGATCCAGCGATGCTGAGTTGCTGCTTACAAATTTTGGGTTGAGTAGTTCGAACCACCGTTGGTCGCCGGTTAGTGTTTCTCGTCTTCACTTGTTTGGTTTTACGAATTAAAGACAAAAGTATTTTCGTCGTGTGCCGTTTTAATGTTCAAATCAAACTAAAACTAAAAATACAAAAAGATTCTTATGTGAAGCTAGCCCTGCCCTATATTTGCTGACACAGCGATTTGGCCAAACGGATCATGTGGTTCAACATCGTTGTAGTATTATTCTGTGCAACGATCAAGTTCGGAACTTGTTTATACACAAAAAGATTATTATTGGCTTATTGCTGGTTGGACGTGTTAACATATATGCGTGCCAGCAAAATTATAGTATACTTCCTATTTCTTTGTGATGCAGATCGATAGGTTCGAAACTTAGATGTTCGCATAATGTAAGCGTAAATTAACTGTAATGTGTCTGGTTAATTTTTGTAATAGCATTGAGATTTAGTAATAACAGGTCTGTATTCTTGTGCCGTGAAAGAAAAAGAAACGGATTTTGTATTGAACAATATAAAATTTTTTATGTCAGCAAATTATTCACAGAATTGTAGCCTACATAGTTTGATAAGCCAACTATTGAGTTGTTATAAAGTGAAGATGTAATGTTTGTATATGTGGATATAATTGTAAGCGTGAATCAAGTGGTGGTCCAACGATACAACTGGCGTCGCCTCTTGGTCCAGTGATGGTCTACGCCTTATGCTTACGGTGGAGAGCTTCACTTCGTCCCCAAGGCCGATCTCAGTTCGAGGAGTGATTTGTCTGGATAATTGCGATAATAGCAATGATATTGAGCAATAATGGGTCTGTATTCATTTGCCGTTAAAGAAAAAAGAAACGGATTTTTTATTGAACAATATAAAATTTTAAACACTTGAATTGCATTTACTTTATATTTCTCAGCTTTGTTTATTTTGTTATCTTTAATTATTATTTTTATTTTGTTTGTGTTGTATTGATTTGTTGCAGTTCCCGCGATGCCGATCCAGCGATGCTGAGTTGTTGCTTACAAATTTTGGGTTGAGTAGTTCGAACCACCGTTGGGCCAGTTAATGTTTCTCTTCACTTGTTTAGTTTTACGAAATAAAGACAACGGTATTTTCGTCGTGTGCCGTTTTAATGTTCAAATCAAACTAAAACTAAAAATACCAAAAGATTCTTATGTGAAGCTTGCCCTGCCCTATATTTGCTGACACAGCGATTTGGCCAAGCGGATCATGTGGTTCAACATCGTTGTAGTATTATTCTGTGCAACGATCAAGTTCGGAACTTGTTTATACACAAAAAGATTATTATTGGCTTATTGCTGGTTGGACGTGTTAACTTATATGCGTGCCAGTAAAATTATAGTATACTTCCAATTTCTTTGTGATGCAGATCGATGTAAGCGTAATTTAACTGTGATGTGTCTGGCTAATTTTTGTAATAGCATTGAGATTTAGTAATAACAGGTCTGTATTCTTTTGCCGTTAAAGAAAAAGAAACGGATGCTTTATTGAACAATATAAAATTTTTAATGTCAGCAAATTATTCACAGAATTGTAGCCTACGTAGTTTGATGAGCCAACTACTAAGTTGTTATAAAGGGAACTTGTAATGTTTATGATTCATTCAAGTGAAAAAAAGTCTTGGTCTGAATTCTAAAAAGGAATTTGCAGGAATAATGCCATTTATTCTACTTCAATGGCGCTACACCAAAACTGCCCCTGTGACCTTGTTTGTAATTATTGATTGCAGGGATAGATTTTATAACAGCGAGAGGTATGTCGCAATTTATTTCTGGGTGGGTTTAAATTCTATTAAAACTTTCCACTTGCGAAATTTCTGTACACATGTTATCTATTTTAATTGTCATGGGATAATAACAGGTCTGTATTCGTTTGCCGTTGAAGAAAAAAGGAGCGGAGTTTGTATTGAACAATATATATATTATTATCATTAAATTATTTACAGAATTGCCGTTTACAGATTTTTATAAACCAACTACTGAGTTGTTATAAAGTGAAGTTGTAATGTTTGTATATGTGGATATAATAATTGTAAGCGTGAATAAAGTGGTGGTCTAACGATACAACTGGCGTCACCGCTTGGTCCAATGATGGTCTACGTCTTTTGATTACGGTGGAGAACTTCACTTCGTCCCCAAGGCCGTTCTCAGTTCGTGGAGTGATTTGTCTGCTTAATTTTTGTTATAGCAAAGAGATTGAGCAGTAACGGGTCTGCATTCATTTGCCGTTAAAGAAAAAAAGGAACGAATTTTGTATTGAACGGCAAGGCTTAGCCAGAACGATGGGAATGGTGTAAACTGTCTCCTTTGAATTCCTCATATTGTGACTGGTTTGGCTCTAATTCCATATATATACATGTGTTGTTAAGGTACTAAATTTGATTGTGCAGGTTCTACACTTTTAAAATATAATAAAAAAAAAAAAAAAAAATTAAATTACATATTTTTGAGAGCCAACTACTGAGTTGTTATAAAGTAAAGTTGTAATGTTTGTACATGTGGATATAATTGTAAGCGTGAATCAATTGGTGGTCTAACGGTACAACTGGTGTCGCCTCTTGGTCCAGCGATGGTATACGTCTCATGATGATTAAGGTGGAGAACGACTTCGACCCAAGGCCGATCTCAGTTCGTGGAGTGATTTGTCTGGATAATTGCGATAATACCAATGATATTGAGCAATAACGGGTCTGTATTCATTTGCCGTTAAAGAAAAGAAAGAAAAAGAAAAGGATTTTTTATTGAACAATATAAAATTTTAAACACTTGAATTGGATTTACTTTATATTTAATATAATTTAATTATTATTATTTTTTTTTTAGATGAGCACTCCCCTTACATGACTTTCTCAGCTTTGTTTATTTCGTTATTATCTTAAATTATTTTTTTTTTATTTGGTTTGCGTTGTTTTGTTTTGTTGCAGTTCCCGCGTTGCCGATCCAGCGATGCTGAGTTGCTGCTTACAAATTTTGGGTTGAGTAGTTCGAACCACCGTTGGGCGCCGGTTAGTGTTTCTCGTCTTCACTTGTTTGGTTTTACGAATTAAAGACAAAAGTATTTTCGTCGTGTGCCGTTTTAATGTTCAAATCAAACTAAAACTAAAAATACAAAAAGATTCTTATGTGAAGCTAGCCCTGCCCTATATTTGCTGACACAGCGATTTGGCCAAACGGATCATGTGGTTCAACATCGTTGTAGTATTATTCTGTGCAACGATCAAGTTCGGAACTTGTTTATACACAAAAAGATTATTATTGGCTTATTGCTGGTTGGACGTGTTAACATATATGCGTGCCAGTAAAATTATATTATACCTCCAATTTCTTTGTGACGCAGATCGAGAGGATCGAAACTTAGATGTCCGCATAATGTAAGCGTAATTTAACTGTGATGTGTCTGGTTAATTTTTGTAATAGCATTGAGATTTAGTAATAACATGTCTTTTGCCGTGAAAGAAAAAGAAACGGATTTTGTATTGAACAATATAAAATTTTTTAAGTCAGCAAATCATTCACAGAATTGTCGCCTACGTCGTTGTATAAGCCAATTACTAAGTTGTTATAAGGTGAAGTTGTAATGTTTATACCTCACTTAAGTGAAAATAAATGGCATGGTTATGAACCATAGAGTTGCACAGATGAATTGTCCATAATCCAATGAACGCATGCATTGCATAAGTTACCCTCACAGTCATACATTGTTATTTCTAAGTACGCAACACATGATCATAAGTATTTGGTTGCCCTCAGCAACAAAGTAGTATTCTTGTAAACAATGCTGATCCGCTGCCAAGAGTTCTGCTCACAGCAACTGAAATCGGACACCCGTGCTGCTTGCGCAAGAATGCTGAGTCGGCATGCCGACTCTAGCGTATGGCGTGATGCATTGGCTTCACAGGACAAACTTAAGCTTGAACATTTCTGTAGCTTTTAGTCTCAATCTAGATCATTATAAGACGAGCGAATGATTAAACTCCGGCATTGCCGTCAATAAACATTATTAGTGTTATCAATCATAGTTGACCACGTCCAAGACGGGCAACTGGGAAAGTTCCCACAACCTAATCACATTGTTCCAATAGTCACCTGTTGGATTCATCACCACCTCACAAAGAGAAGAAGTCACCACCGTCCGATCAACCACACATCGTCGCCAGACAACGAAGTTACGACGGAAGACTTAATTGGCGCCCAACCCATAAATAGGAACCCATACCATGTAAGTTCATAAGTGATTTCAGTTTTGAAGAAATTATTCACGAACGCCACGTACCGATACGTGTGATTTTTATAAAGAACAGTGTAAAGTAAAGTAAATATTGCTACTTTCTTCTGCCAGCATTTCATTCCTTTAAATCATTGCATACTTTTATAAAAATTGTTGTTTTTACAAAAATTGTTGCATACTTTTACCAGCGTTCCTTGTCAATAAAGCATTGCATACCTTAAACGAATAATTATAGAATACTTTCGGCAGTATTATATTTTTTGCTGCATACCCTTAACCATTTTTATAATAAATATTGCATACCCAGTTTCCGTTATTGCCTCAGTTTTACCTGCTGATCTTTCTCGATCGGCCTAAGTTTTGAAAAGTGCCAACCATAAGCCAATGAGTTGGAATTATAGGGAGGTAAAAGTCGAATATAATAGTGACGATAGCTGGGAGGGGGAAATCAATTGCTCAGCAGATCCTGCTCCTGCAGATACCGTTGTAACTGAAGAAATGGAGCCGGGTCAAGTTCAGACTCTCATTGAGGGTGCCATCAAGCAAGCTTTAGCGCAACAACAAAATCAGTTTCAAGTACAATTAACCGCTTTAACTTCACAAGTACAGAGATTGCAGGTGAAAGCGCCGCAAGTCGCCACATACGAGAAAATATCCGTTGATCCTAACGCCAAATGCGATATTCCCTCAGACATTATTAAATCTGTGCCGGATTTCTCCGCTACCAAAAGGTTCTTGGAACTCGCTGACTACAACATCGTTGTAATATTATTCTGTGCAACGATCAAGTTCGGAACTTGCTTATGCACAAAAAGATTATTATTGGCTTATTGCTGGTTGGACGTGTTAACTTATATGCGTGCCAGTAAAATTATAGTATACTTCCAATTTCTTTGTGACGCAGATCGAGAGGATCGAAACTTAGATGTTCGCATAATGTAACCGGAATTTAACTGTGATGTTTCTGGCTAATTTTTGTAATAGCATTGAGATTTAGTAATAACAGGTCTGTATTCTTTTGCCGTTAAAGAAAAAAGAAACGGATTTTTTATTGAACAATATAAAATTTTTAATGTGAGCAAATTATTCACAGTATTGTCGCCTACATAGTTTGATAAGCCAACTACTGAGTTGTTATAAAGTGAAGCTGTAATGTTTGTATATGTGGATATAATTGTAAGCGTGAATCAAGTGGTGGTCCAACGATACAACTGGCGGTGCCGCTTGGTCCAGTGGTGGTCTACGTCTTTTGATTACGGTGGAGAACTTCACTTCGTCCCCAAGGCCGTTCTCAGTTCGTGGAGTGATTTGTCTGCTTAATTTTGGTTATAGCAAAGAGATTGAGCAGTAACGGGTCTGCATTCATTTGCCGTTAAAGAAAAAAAGGATCGGATTTTGTATTGAACAATATCAAATTTTTATTGTCATTAAATTACATATTTTTGAGAGCCAACTACTGAGTTGTTATAAAGTAAAGTTGTAATGTTTGTACATGTGGATATAATAATTGTAAGCGTGAATCAATTGGTGGTCTAACGGTACAACTGGTGTCGCCTCTTGGTCCAGCGATGGTATAAGTCTCATGATGATTAAGATGGAGAACGACTTCGACCCAAGGCCGATCTCAGTTCGTGGAGTGATTTGTCTGGATAATTGCGATAATAGCAATGATATTGACCAATAACGGGTATTAATTTGCCGTTAAAGAAAAACGAAACGGATTTTTTATTGAACAATATAAAATTTTAAACACTTGAATTGGATTTACTTTATATTTAATATATTTTAATTATCATTTTTTTTTTTTTAGATGAGCACTCCACTTACATGACTTTCTCAGCTTTGTTTATTTTGTTATTATCTTAAATTATTATTTGTAATTTGTTTGTGTTGTTTTGTTTTGTTGCAGTTCCCGCGATGCCGATCCAGCGATGCTGAGTTGCTGCTTACAAATTTTGGGTTGAGTAGTTCGAACCACCGTTGGGCGCCAGTTAATGTTTCTCGTCTTCACTTGTTTAGTTTTACGAAATAAAGACAAAGGTATTTTCATCGTGTGCCGTTTTAATGTTCAAATCAAAGTAAAACTAAAAATACCAAGATTCTTATGTGAAGCTAGCCCTGCCCTATATTCGCTGACTCAGCGATTTGGCCAAACGGATCATGTGGTTCAACATCGTTGTAGTATTATTCTATGCAACGATCAAGTTCGGAACTTGTTTATACACAAAAAGATTATTATTGGCTTATTGCTGGTTGGACGTGTTAACTTATATGCGTGCCAGTAAAATTATAGTATACTTCCAATTTCTTTGTGATGCAGATCGATGTAAGCGTAATTTAACTGTGATGTGTCTGGTTAATTTTTGTAATAGCATTGAGATTTAGTAATAACATGTCTTTTGCCGTGAAAGAAAAAGAAACGGATTTTGTATTGAACAATGTAAAATTTTTAATGTCAGCAAATCATTCACAGAATTGTCGCCTACATAGTTTTATAAGCCAATTACTAAGTTATTATAAGGTAAAGTTGTAATGTTTATACCTCACTTAAGTGAAAATAAATGGCATGGTTATGAACCATAGAGTTGCACAGATGAATTGTCCATAATCCAATGAACGCATGCATTGCATAAGTTACCCTCACAGTCATACATTGTTATTTCTAAGTACGCAACACATGATCATAAGTATTTGGTTGCCCTCAGCAACAAAGTAGTATTCTTGTAAACAATGCTGATCCGCTGCCAAGAGTTCTGCTCACAGCAACTGAAATCGGACACCCGTGCTGCTTGCGCAAGAATGCTGAGTCGGCATGCCGACTCTAGCGTATGGCGTGATGCATTGGCTTCACAGGACAAACTTAAGCTTGAACATTTCTGTAGCTTTTAGTCTCAATCTAGATCATTATAAGACGAGCGAATGATTAAACTCCGGCATTGCCGTCAATAAACATTATTAGTGTTATCAATCATAGTTGACCACGTCCAAGACGGGCAACTGGGAAAGTTCCCACAACCTAATCACATTGTTCCAATAGTCACCTGTTGGATTCATCACCACCTCACAAAGAGAAGAAGTCACCACCGTCCGATCAACCACACATCGTCGCCAGACAACGAAGTTACGACGGAAGACTTAATTGGCGCCCAACCCATAAATAGGAACCCATACCATGTAAGTTCATAAGTGATTTCAGTTTTGAAGAAATTATTCACGAACGCCACGTACCGACGTGTGATTTTTATAAAGAACAGTGTAAAGTAAAGTAAATATTGCTGCTTTCTTCTGCCAGCATTTCATTCCTTTAAATCATTGCATACTTTTATAAAAATTGTTGCATACTTTTACAAAAATTGTTGCATACTTTTACCAGCGTTCCTTGTCAATAAAGCATTGCATACCTTAAACGAATAATTATAGAATACTTTCGGCAGTATTATATTTTTTGCTGCATACCCTTAACAATTTTTATAATGAATATTGCATACCCCAAGATACACCAGTTTCCGTTATTGCCAACAGTTTTACCTGCCGATCTTTCTCGATCGGCCTAAGTTTTGAAAAGTGCCAACCATAAGCCAATTGGAATTATAGGGAGGTAAAAGTCGAATATAATAGTGACGATAACTGGGAGGGGGAAATCAATTGCTCAGCAGATCCTACTCCTGCAGATACCGTTGTAACTGAAGAAATGGAGCCGGGTCAAGTTCAGACTCTCATTGAGGGTGCCATCAGGCAAGCTTTAGAGCAACAACAAAATCTGTTTCAAGTACAAATAACCGCTTTAACTTCACAAGTACAGAGTTTGCAGGTGAAAGCGCCCCAAATCGCCACATACGAGAAAATATCCGTTGATCCTAACGCCAAATGCGATATTCCCTTAGACATTATTAAATCTGTGCCGGATTTCTCCGCTACCAAAAGGTTCTTGGAACTCGCTGACTACAACATCGTTGTAATTTTATTCTGTGCAACGATCAAGTTCGGAACTTGCTTATGCACAAAAAGATTATTATTGGCTTATTGCTGGTTGGACGAGTTAACTTATATGCGTGCCAGTAAAATTATAGTATACTTCCAATTTCTTTGTGACGCAGATCGAGAGGATCGAAACTTAGATGTTCGCATAATGTAACCGGAATTTAACTGTGATGTGTCTGGCTAATTTTTGTAATAGCATTGAGATTTAGTAATAACAGGTCTGTATTCTTTTGCCGTTAAAGAAAAAAGAAACGGATTTTTTATTGAACAATATAAAATTTTTAATGTCAGCAAATTATTCACAGTATTGTCGCCTACATAGTTTTATAAGCAAACTACAAAGTTGTTATAAAGTGAAGTTGTAATGTTTATACTTCATTCAAGTAAAAATAAATTGCGTGGATATGAACCATAGAGTTGCACAGATGTATTGTTTATTATCCAGTGAGAGCATACGTTATATAAATGCCAGAACCTGAATATATAATTTTGGCTCTGAAAATGTTAAATATTTGTAATTATATGTAATTTGTGTGTCACTTCGTGTAATTTGACTGTGATATGTCTGGTTAATTTTGATAATAGCAAAGCGATTAAGCAATTATGGGTCTGTATTCTTTTCCCTCTAAAAAAAGGAAGCAGAACCTGAACATATAATGTTATCTCTAAAAATTTTTAATGTAAGGAAACTAGCGATACTGCCGCCTTAGTGTTTTAACCATAAACGATAAGAGGCTTCGCGGGAAACTAAAGCATAATTTGACTGAACACGGCAAAACTTAGCACCAGTATGCTAACATAAGTGTGTAAGCAAAATTGATGGCTTTCTGAAATCGATAGCGGTGTTGGTGGCGGTGCGTGGAGTGATTTGTAATTTAGATAATAAAACAGATTTTGTTTTGAACGGTATAAAATTTTTAATGTCATTAAATTATTTAGAGAATTGTTTGTTAAAAAGTGAAGTTGTTATGTTTATATATGTGGATATAATAATTATACTGTTGTCCCTGTGTCCAGCGATAGTATACGTCTTATGACGGTGGAGAACTTGACTTCGTCCCCATGGCCATGGCCAGCTTCATAGTGAGCATAGCTACAATTAAAAGGCTTAAACAGCTCATAAGCATAGCAGGCTGATTGCCTCCATGATTCATAAATTCAGGGATAGATTTTATAATATCGAGACGTATGTCGCAATTTATTTCTGGTTGGGCTGAAATTCTTTTCAAACTTTCTACTTGCGGAGTTTTAATACACAAGTTATCTATTTTAATTGTCATTGCTTTTAGTTGAGACTGGAACCTAACTTCTTGCTGGGCCAAAGCTTAGCTAACAGCTTTCTGGATTAAAGCTTGCAATTGGCTTGTGTCATTGATTACTTGGTTTTGTGCTTGACTATGGGTTCTGAGCTTGGCTAAAGCTAAGCTCTGGGCTCTGTACCTGATTATTGTGAGGTGAGACTGGAACTTTACTTGATGTTTATATATGGTTCAAGTGGAAATAAATGACGTGTATATGAACCATAGAGTGTATATATACAAGCGTTGTACAGATGTATTGCTTATTATCCAAATAGTGCATACGTTATATAATTGCAAGAACCTGAATATATAATGTTATCTTTAAAAATGTTTAATATTTGTAATTGTATGTAATTTTTGTGCAATGTGTCATATGCCATGTTTTTAAAAAATATATAAAGCCGAAGACATTTCGCAACATTGTTTAGTTAGAGAGAAGTGTTTTTATTGAAGAAACTAATACATATGGTGGTGTATTTATAATTTCTTTCAATATACATATTTGTGACATAAGGAAACAAGCGATACTGCCGCCCTAGTGTTCTAACCATAAACGATAAGCGATGCGATGCAATTCTGTCATGCTATGTGTCAGCGGCTTCGTGGGAAACAAAAGAATAATTTGACTGAACACGGCAAAATTTAGCCCCAGTATGCTAACATAAGTGTGAATGCAAAATTAATGGCTTTCTCAAATCGATAGCGGTATTGGTGGCGGTGCGTGAAGTGATTTGTGATTTCGATAATAGCAATGAGATTTAGTAATAACAGGTCGGTACTTTTTTGCCTTTAAAAAAAGAACGGATTTCGTATTGAACGGTATAAAATTTGTATTGTCATTAAATTATTTGCTGAATTGTTGCTTGTTAAAAAGTGAAGTTATAATATTTATATATGTGGATATAATAATTATACTCTTGTTCCTTGGTCCAGCGATAGTATACGTCTTAGGACGATAACGGTGGAGAACTTGACTTCGTCCCCAAGGCCGTTCTCAGTTTGTAGAGTGATTTGTCTGGTTAATTGCGATAATAGCAATGAGATTAAGCAATAAATGGTCTGTATTCTTTTGCCGTTAAAGAAAAATGGAACGGATTTTGTATTGAGCATCATATTTTTAATGCCATTAAATTATTCACACAGTTCATATAGAATTCATATAAGTGGATATAATAAGTATACACGTTTTTCAAGTGCTGGTCCAACGATGCGAGTGGTCTAGCGATGGTATTCGTCTTATGAAGATTACGGTGGAGGACTTGACTTCGGAGTAACGCCATTAATTATACTTTAAGGGTGTGGGTTGGGAGCAATCTAATCACAGACAGATTTTATAATATCGAGACGTATGTCGCAATGTATTTCTGGTTGGGCTTAAATTCTTTTCAAACTTTCTACTTGCGGAGTTTCAATACACAAGTTATATATTTTAATTGTAATTGCGTTTAGTTGAGACTGGAACCTAACTTCTTGCTGGGCCAAAGCTTAGCTAACAGCTTTCTGGATTAAAGCTTGCAGTTGGCTTGTGTCATTGATTACTTGGTTTTGTGCTTGACTATGGGTTCTGAGCATGGCCAGTACAAAGCTCTGGACTCTGTAGCTGACTATTATTAGTGAAGTCTTCTTGTTGGGCCAAAGCTTGGCTAACAGCGTTCTGGGTTATAGCCTGCGCTTGGGTTACGTCCATGATAACTTAGTGTGTGCTTGGCTTACTATTTTTATGTTTCGTTTGATTGTAAATTTGCACAATTATACCATTTTTATGAATCTATTTTATTCTCTTTAAAATGATTTAAAAAATATTTTTAAATAAACTTACATCATATTTGGGGCTTGATAGGGTTTAAGAAAAGAAAAAAGTGTTGCCAACTGCGTTGAAGACTACATAAAGTGCTTTGTATGCCGAAACCGGTTTGAACTGGATATGACCGATTTCATAGAACAATTTAAAAAAAGAACGGATTTCGTATTGAACGGTATAAAATTTGTATTATCATTAAATTATTTGCTGAATTGTTGCTTGTTAAAAAGTGAAGTTATAATATTTATATATGTGGATATAATAATTATACTCTTGTTCCTTGGTCCAGCGATAGTATACGTCTTAGGACGATAACTGTGGAGAACTTGACTTCGTCCCCAAGGCCGTTCTCAGTTCGTAGAGTGATTTGTCTGGTTAATTGCGATAATAGCAATGAGATTAAGCAATAACTGGTCTGTATTCTTTTGCCGTTAAAGAAAAATGGAACGGATTTTGTATTGAGCAACATATTTTTAATGCCATTAAATTATTCACACAGTTCATATAGAGTTCATATATGTGGATATAAT